GTTATCTTAACAAATAAAGCCAGGAAAGAAAAGAAAACAAAATTGAAAATTCCTTTTTTTTTCGAATATATTCGGAAGTATTCGGAATTTTTCAAAATGCAATAAGGCATTTTATTGAGCATCAAATTGCGCAACTTTATCTCCATTTAACCGATCCTGTATCTCTTACGGTTTCCGAAATCCCAATGATGAGCATCGAATTCGAGCCACTCTCTACATATGACGCTGATACTGATATCAGCCTCATATGCGACTTTATTCTATGGTTTATTATGGTTAATCCTCTTCTTTCTTGTTTTTGTGTTTTGTAATGTTTCTATTATTTATGTTAATTTATTTTGTTATTTTGCACATGCTACTTTGCAATGTACTGTAAGAGTGCGGACACAAAGAAAGCAGGTTGCCTGCTTGCTGGTTTGCTGGTAACAAACGTTTATAAGCGTGTGTTACAAGCGTGTATGGTGTAGGTAAGTAACTTACACCACAAATGTACGTCACACATTTATTTGCAAAACAAACTAATATAACTTTCAACCTCGGCAAAAAGGATGAGAGCGTGTTCTTAAAATAATTAACTAACTTACTCCACGTGTACTTCGCCAAAGTAAAAACGTCCAAACAAATTTCTTTGTAGTAATTACGTTTGTTTATCAAAATAAATTTGAATTTGTTTAAACAAAGATCAGTTTGCTACCTTTGGTTATCGTTCCTAAAGGATTTACAACAATCTTTTCAAAACATTAGATAGTATAATAATACTATAAAGAAATATAAAATAAACCAGCAGTTCTAACAGTTATAACGGTACTTTTTTTATTTTACGGTATAATCTCTTACAGTACTTTGAACTTAAAACTTTATTAAATATATAAATAAAAACTAAAAAAAAGTGATACAAAGCTTGTTGAAAAATAGAGTAATTTTTGACCTGTCCGCTAAAGGTATTCGGTATTAAATACAATTTTTTTGTGCATTACTGTATATTCGTCCATTGTGTATACAGGGTGACGTACCGAGAGCTAGTCTGGCTACTATATCCAATAATACGTTCTCTGTGTCAGATATTTTCATACACATATAAATATTTATTAAAAAAATACTCAAGCGATTGATTTGAATTTCCTTCCAGATATAAATCAGTTCAGGTTTTGATAAAGTGGGTCAAGCATAGAAAATGCAAGGTTGTGAAGGTTGTATCGAAATTTAATGTGAACTTCAAAATACAAACACAGGGTCAATGTCACGACAGCTCAAATTCCTATTGATATTTCATAACCTTCTATTATTCGTAGCCTTGTCGTAGTTCTGATGAGGTTCCTCGTGTGCGAAACTAAAATCTTCGCTAACTACTTTGTAACAATATTCTGAAATCGAAATATAGAAGAAAATCTGTCGTCGGTGAAGTTGGAAAATATTTATACTAAAATTTATATAGGGGTGGGAGTAGTTTTCAGCCTTTCCGTATTTCTTCTTGGTTTTTGTAAAAGTCAAATATTAAAGCACTTAGCGAAACATAGACACACAAAATCTCATTCAAATCGAAAAACGGTTCTTAAAATATCAAAAAAAAAACGTGTTTATTTTTTAAAGTTTGATGCCCTCTATTTTAATTACGAAAATACGTAGTAGTTCTATATCTTCGAAATATTGGGACACCCTGTATATAACCGATAAAAATAAATATTCTACCTATATTAGTTTGTTCCCCCAAAATTCATTTATACATATCGTTGGCTTTATGACGAAAAGGCGTATCTCGATTTTTGGCGATTTTGAGATATCAACGTCATGACATGCCCAATGGGTCATATTTTAACATAGCGAATTTGCGCATCTCAATATTGTACCTTTTTCATTTTATATTCGTTTAAAAATTTGCCCCATCTCAAATACTACAATTCTTCGTTATGACGAAGAGACGTATGTTGAGATAGGGCTCTTTATTATATCAATTGTTATACTACAAGAAAGATGGAATTTGAAATAGGTCCTTTTGTTTTAAGTTATGAAAATGCATGCTAGAGAAAATCACACCATTCTACCTAATTATTTTCTGATGGTTGCTTGGGACAAAATAAAACTTCTATCATGGCAGCAGCTCTCTTTTACAGTGTGATTTTGAGTCTGTTTTTTTTGCCAAAAACCATTGTTAGAATCAGCTAGACTCTGCACATAGCTGTATCGGGTATGCAAAAGATTGTCCGAGAATAAATGGCCGAAGAAAAATTGATCGAACAACAACGAAACGAAAATTGCCCTATTGGAAAAATTCCCGAAATTATAATTTCCCTAAGAACATTTTAGCGAACCAAAAACTTGCCCGAAAAATACAATAATTTTTATCGCATTATCATTGTCAGGCCATTGGCATTGTCATCTCTTGTAGTATAATTTATAAAATATGTGGGAAATATTAAATATAATACATTAATTTAATATAATGTTAAACCTGATTTAACATTATGTTATGTAACTATTCTGTATGTTAACATTAGGTTTCTTATAAACAAATATATAGATGGCCCTGGTAGTTCAATTTATAAATTTCGCTTTTTTGCAATAATGGAATTCGGGTGATCGCCATTTTATTTATACCGCTACAAGTGTTAACAGCATTTGGTTTTCGACTTATTACCAAATATATTATATTCTTATTATTTTGGGGTATAAACCTGGTGTAAGAAATTGATTTACAACCCTTAACTCGGTTCCCTAATAATTATAATTTATTTTAGAACTTTGTAGAACTTTTACTAAACCACACTTACAACTATCAGCGTGGAAAATAAAAAAGATAATATTTCCTGCAGTTGTTGTTTTATTGACCAGTCTTCAGAACCTTACGTTACACCCTGTCAATTTTTGGAAAATTTTTATTTATTGTGCCTATCATCATCCTGCATAAACACGTAGAATGGAAGTCGAATTTGTTATCATTGAACAGGGAAAACAGAAACTGTTAGTCCACAGTTATTTGTATCAAAAAGACACGAATGAAGAAACATGTTTTGTTTTTGTTTAGTTTGGTTTTTATTAAATGGACCGTGAGTTTAAATGCCTTGTATTAATGCTCTCAATTAACTGAATAATTACTAAAAATATATTAGTTAAAAAAATGTATTTTTGTATAAAAATCAATATTATTAAAATGAGCTAGATAACTGTATTTTAATTGATTATTGTCTTTGCTTCTGGAATGAAAATTGTCTTTGTTTTCAGTTGATCTAATCCAACGCGAATAAAAGTATTTAAAAATATTTGTTTCTGATTTTTTGATGATTTTCAAATTTTTTCTGTATATATGTATTGTATTTTCTTGTATGTATTCCATAATGTGAATATTGTATTATTTTTCCTTATTAAGAACACTTTACCATCATTTTTCATTTTATTTTACATGGCCGTACTATTCGTTCGGAAATAAATTTATTATTATTATAACAAAAAGACCTATCTCTATTAAACAACTAAAAAGAAATTATTTATTAGAATTTACGCACAATTTATCTTCAGAACGATTCCTGAATGTCTCCGTTTAAGTGTTAATACAAAAACACTATTAAAAAATTAAAGACTTTACATTTATTGGCCAAATAAAGTAAGTGATTTTCTTTAAATTGCTCTCCTGAAAAGTAGCAAAAATCGAGATACGCCTTTTCGTCATAAAGCCGACGATATAATAGGTAGATGGTAAACGCTTTGATAGCAGGATAGATCATTTTATCACAAATAATCAAAAGAAATGGTTGAAATTATACTAAAACACAAAACTTTTCACTCTCAGAAATTTTCTAATAAGCTTGTAGATTTGGTTTGGTACTTAAGTAATATCTTGGGATTTCTAGACTCTTTATTTACCTTGCAAATAGATTAACCTATTAAAAGCAAGAGAGGACAAGCCAATTACAGATTCATGTTTAAATAACTCTTAGAAAAGAGTTATTTAGAAAAACAAACAAAAATAAAATTAGTAAAATTACATTTAAAGTAAAATAAATTTTCATAAAAAAATCATCTGCTGATGATGCTAACATGGTTAGCGAGACGCGCGTCCAGTGTAAAAGTAAAATTGTTTTGGTGTATTGTGGTGATTTAGTCTTTTACTTTGCTGTGGAACACCAAAGGTTCCAACCCACAACTGTAATACATTTAAAGTAATAAAATCAGCAATACGACATAAAAATATGATTGAGAAAATGACAATCGATGTGTGATATTCGTGATCTTGAATTATTTATGTCTCATGGATTGGATAATTAAACAAATTTTACAGAGAATAGAGATGTGACCTTGTCAAAATGTTGTATAGATATATCAAAGAAGAGAAACTATTAGATGACGCAAGTGGTACTGCGAAAAAAGCCGATGAACTGACAAGGCAACGATCATCAGACTCATATCCAGAGCTAAAACTGGGAATATCTAAATAAATAACCCGTAGTAACGCTGAACGAAGAAAACCACTGTCCACTGGAGAAACAGAAATAGAAGCACAGGCATAGCAAGGCCTTCATTCAAAACCTCATTCTAAAACCACAAAGGAAAGTGTGGATTACTAACAGGTCTCTTGACAAGATATATGGAAGTAAAATGCTATCTGATCAAGCTCAACCTGTATCAAGAAAGTCTCTGCTACATATTCTGCGATAAAGATCCTCAAACAGCAAAGCACATAATATGTCAGTGAGAGGGTCGAGATCGCAAGCGACACTTTCTATTTGGTGAAGCAAGGCTAGAACGGAAGGAACTATGCTCCCATCCTAGTAAGGACCTGCACACGCTGGTGCAGAGCACTGATGGGTACAGACACATAGAGGGGATAAACACGATAGGCCTTACAGGACGCAGTGTTTGCAGCATTGTAAGGGCCCACTAATACTGAACAAAAAAATTTACTGCGATAAAATATAATTTGATTGACAGTTTATATGAGAGGTGGAATTAATCAGTTTTACCACAATAATATATTACAAAACAGCAAAAGTTATTTAATAATTTACCTGCTCCATACGTGTGTAGGGAGGTCTTTGGATCCACTCCCTATGGACAGGCGGAATCTGTTTAAGGAACCAAGTAAGCTATTATCGGATCTTCTCCTATCAAGTTTAGCAGGTGCACAAATTTGATTGGCTGGCAGTACTAATGTAGGTGCTGAACGATTAGCTGTAAATAAATTAAATTTCCCATCAATTTCTATTGTACATAATATGTACTTTGCAGTATAAAGCTTCATTTAGAACCTCCAAATTAGTGGTTTCAATTACCGTCAAAATTAGTGGTAGACATTTTGAATTAGTAGAAAAAGTTATCAAACTTTTCCTTTTTCCACTAATTATACTTCAAAATTTGCGAGAAATGGCCTTTGATTGAAAAAGTTGATTGTTTTACAAGCTAAATATTAGGCTTTTTCTATGGATACCACTCTCTAACGCAAACTGTTGCTTGGATATTTTCTTATTTTTAATTGTTTTTCAAAACATTGTGAATGATCGTAAACTAAAAAATATAAAGTGTAATTGAAACCACTAATTTATTCCACGAATTGCAAGGTTCTGAATGAAGCTCAAATAAATAAAAAAGGCTATACTTAAACTGCCGTTAAACGGTAGCTTACTAAAATGCCGTTAATAGGTATGACGTCGTTCATGTGACGCACTTGACGGCTTTATGAAATATAGAAATTATATAAGGACTAACCAAAGCTATCCACCCCACCAAATAACCAACTTAACCAACGCAACTAACCTCGACACTGATAAAAAAAATAAAAAACAAATATAAATTAGTAAAAACCAACCAACCCCACCAAATAACGAACTAACCAATGAATTAACATCCTCCAAATAACCACGCTAACCAACCCGCCAAATAACTAAACCAATCCAACCAAAAAAAGTGAAACCAATGCACTTTTAAAAAAAGTGTTGGTCAGCGTGAGATTTGAACCCCGGACCATTCGCTCACGAACCGATAGCCTCAGCCACGGAGCCACAGGTGCCTTGCAATATGCTTATGGCTAGGCATTACTTTCCGCCGACATGAACGACGTCACAATATCTATTAACGGCATTTTAGTAGGCTACGGTTTAACGGCTGTTTAAGTACATCCATAAAAAAATGTCTAAATGAACTAATAAAATATAAATAAATAAATATGTCTATCTGATTTTTTTTCAGTTATAACTATAACGTATAACTTCTAAAATAAAGCTCTAAGAGACTAAATTTTAGAGTTTAAAAGAAGAATATCTAAAAATATTTATCTAACCATTCACAAACCCTTCAAATTTAATTGGGTTTTTCTAGGAAGTAAAAATAAAAAACAATGTCAAATATAAAAATCATCTAGATTTCGAGTTTATAGATACTATTTAAACCTTGACGTACCTTCTGACATTAGATAGATATATTGCTTTTTGTCGATAACAATCGCTAAATATTGAAGGTTGGCTAATAAGGTGAAACCAAAACACTTAAAATGTTTAAATTGATGTTACGTGCTTTGAATTTTTAAAAAGGCATAATCATAGAGTAAAAAAATTGACAAGTATTGTTCTTTCTTTATTTGAAGTTTTTTTACATTAGATTTCTTAAAATACTATTTATTTAAATATTTTCTATGTACAAAGTACCTCTAGTAAACAAATCTATTATAGAAGTGCAAGACTTGTAAGAGTTTACTGCAACACCAAGACCAAGTCTACTTATTAAACTGCTAGACCAAAACGCCAAAACCAAGGAGTCTAGGTCATGGTCTTGCACACTCAACACTAATTAAGATAAAGACGTTTGCATATACTTACACAATAGTTTATGACGCTGACTACAACTCCTTCCAAATTTGCTGGGTTGTTCAGTTTTCACATCTTCTAAAAGCTTTTGGCCCAACATTTCTTGGCTTCTCTCTTCCGTAGTGTTACTGTGCGTCATTGTCATTAGGAAAAATCACCGTAATCGACAAAATTTAAATTGCACACAGAAATTATTATTCCCTTTTAATTTTTAAAACTGTTATCTAAAGAACTAATAGATAAAAATCACAGTAAAAAAGCGCTTTTCTTTGCTCTCAGCTATCACAGACTCGATTTTGACGATTGGAAGACATCCGGTAGCAGGTTAATAATTCTATCTGAAAAAAAAACAATAGAATATTATTAAAATGTTTTAGTTTCACCCCTGTAAATAATTATTAACAATTTTATAATATTAAACTATATATTCTTTAATATTTTTAGATATTATTAACATTCAGAGTCATCTCTTCAATCTGTCTGACAATCAAAATCGTCATATTTAATTATTTCAGAATAACAATAGCTAACAAATTCAGTGTGGCTATTTACATTAAAAATTCTAACATGTACATACGCAGAAACCATTGTAACAAAAGTTTAAACAATGAACGGCATGTTATCCTTTTTTAAAAGTTTGATTAAGGAAGCTATTATATTATTAAGAGCAATTTTAAAATTGGCAACCATGAAGCTTGCTCTACAACATAACTTAAAATATGTTTGTTTTTTTATTGTAATGATTATGATAGTAGTTTCTTTCATATTTATGCTAGATTTAAATATTAAAAATATTTGTAGAAAAAATCAATTTTAATTTGAGACTACTTAGAAAGTTAACCTTTTTATAAAAAAATATGTAGAATAATAATAATAATAATAATAATAAATAGTCTTTATTGTAATCCATAAGTATTACAAAAGGCGAAGTTGAAGCATTGCTTCCTATCTTAACCTATACATTTACAAAAAAAAACATATAATATACAATGCATATTCAATCCTATAAATTCATAGAGAAAGAAACCCTGCTACTTTTTCCAAAAAAAAGAGCTGCAATAAATTCAATTACAAAAAAAAAGAAAACAGTCTATCTTAAAGTTTACAATTAAACCGCTTACATCCAACAAGCACCAACCAAAAAAAAAATAATAAAAAATATAGATATGTAATATAATGTACTTATCAAGAAACGTGGCTTATTATCAGTCTTTTAGCTTCCAATCTGAACTTTTCAGGCGGGGCACTTTTTAAATTGATAGGGACATCATTGTAGAGAGCTGCTATGTTATAGCTAAATGACCTTTCAAAAAGGGTCGTTTTATGCTTAGGCGGTGTTAACAAGAATTTATGCCGGAGATCTAGATTGTGCGCCTCAAATCTAAATTTTATTTTTTGGTACAAGTATTCAGGTTGTTTTTTAAAGATGATTTTATTATAAAGGACTAGACTATGTAATCGTCTTCTCTCACTCATATCTAGCCACTTAATTTCTTTCAGTTTTGCGCTAATGCCTGTATCGTATTTTCTCAACCCAGATATCATTCGCACACAATAATTTTGAATATACTGTATTCGCTTTTGGTCACGTGACAGTAAGCATGAACTGTAGAGCACGTCACAAAACGTGAAATGTGACAGAACAAGGCTGTCACAAAGCATTTTCTTCATGTTACTGTTCAGCAGGTGTTTACTCCGATATATTAATTTTAAATTAATGAACGCCTTCTTAATACAATTGTCAATATGCTCTGTAAACCTTAAGCGAACATCCATGAATAACCCTAGGTTTTTTGCCACATGAGTACATTTCAACACTTCATTCTCCAGGCTTATTTTGACAAAATTTTCATGTCTATCTCTGCATTGGGACCGTCCAAAAAGTAGGAGTTGGCATTTTTTTGGATTTAGTTCCAGGGAGTGCGCCTTAGAAATATTACAGAGGAGAGCCAAATCAGAGGATAATTTCTCATTTGCTACTAAAATTTCGGAAGGAGGGAAGGACAGGTACAATTGTGTGTCATCAGCATATAGATGAATAGAAGCATATTTTAAATTGCAGGTGAGCTGAGACGTGTATAGGGTAAATAGCAATGGCCCAAGTATGGAACCTTGAGGCACACCACTTGTAACGCATTTAGAGGTAGATTGTTGTCCTTGGATTTTTACTGCTTGACTTCTTCCAGTGAGATAACTTTTGATAAGTTTACAAGCATCGTTTTTAAATCCCAGGTGTTGCAATATAGCCAGAAGTAATTGGTGGTTTAATCTGTCGAAGGCCTTAGAATAGTCAAGCAAGACAAGTGTTGTGAGTTCACCACGATCCGCTGCTTGCAATATGTCATCCGTCACCTTTAATAGAGCTGTGGCGCAGCTATAATCTCTGCGAAAACCGGACTGAAAAGAAGGTAATAAATTATATTTATCAACATAATTTCTGATCTGTCCCTCTAGAATTCTTTCAACTATTTTAGACATAGTGGGCAATATGCTTATAGGCCTAAGTTCCGATAGTTGGGTGGGCGATGCAACCTTAGGAATTGGTAATAAAAAGGAACTTGTCCAGATGCTCGGGAAAGAAGCCGTTTCAATGCAGTAGTTTACCAAGTGAACAATAAACGGAATAATGTAAGGACAACAATTTAATATCATAGAGAGACCAATTCCATCCATTCCTATAGCCTCTGATTTAATAGAAAAGAGAGCAGAACAAACCTCATCAGTTGTGGCTAAGGGGAAATGAAAATCTCCGCTACCTTGTTTTATATTATGTTGGTAGAATGCCAACATGTCAGGATCCGGGGCTGAAGAGTTTGAAGAGTTTATGAAGAACATATTTATTTCTTCAGCGTTACCGAGTTGGGGAGGGATAGTAATCCTAGCAGATTTAGTATGAATGTCAAGTTCTTTAAGCAATTTCCAATTATTTTTAGAATCTCCCAGCTGAAAGTTGTTTTCAAGATAAACTTTCTTTTCATTTTCTATGGCTATAGACACCTGGTTACGGAGTTGTCTGTAGCATTCCCAGTTGTTGGACGTTTTTTGTTTTTTATATTTGGTTAATGCCTTATCTCGAAGACGCATAAGGCATTTTATATTTTGAGTCAGCCATGGTGTGCGTTTTTTGGTGATTCTAGCATTTCTAATAGGGGCATGTTGATCATATAAATTCAATAGATAGTCATTGAATAATTTTATTTTGTCATTAATATTTTGAAGATAGAAAATATTATTTAAAGGCAAATTCACTAAATCTGAGTAGAAACGGCCAAGATCAAAAAGTCTAAAATCCCGATAAGTGACTATGAGAGGCGGTGGTTTTAGAGAGGCGGTAGAATAAATATTGGTTTGCATATGTATTATGAATTTCTCTGAAAGACTCTATATAAATGTTAATACAGGCATTATTTTAAATTTTAATTACCTAAAATAAATACTGGTGGTTTTAACGACCCTAAATACTTATTTTAATGGATGGTAAAGATTAAAGTTAAAACATTTTTTTGTCGATCGTATACTTAACATTTAAGTCTATGACCGAGATATTTTGTATTTCTATTTTTTAGAAATAATGTTATTTTCTCACGATTTTTAGTTTTCAAAAACATACAACTTAAATTGAACTAAATATTGTTCTTGATATTTTCTTAATTGAAGTTTTTAATAAAAAATTATTTTATGCTTCGTTAAAACGGATTTATAGCATTTACACATGAAACATGTGTAATCACTCGACGTAAGTAGAACAGAACATCATAAACAATTGACTTTCTCTTAAAAACATTAAATACTTATTTCTCAAGTCGTTAATCGCTTTTAACATCAGACACTTTTTCATCTTCTTTTTTTTTTTCATTCTTTATATATTAACCATATAACACTTTATTTAACATTTACCAAGAAAATAAACCTATTTCCTAATACTATTTCACTACATTCATTTTCTATACCATTATCATTAAATATAAACTATAACTATAATTATTAGAGATATACAGGGTGGTCCGAACTATATTTCGGAAACTTCGGCAGCATATTCTACAGATAAAAATAAGTAAAAAGGTTCGTATAAATGTTTGTCCTAAAATGCTTAGTTTCGAAGATACAGAGTATAGAATTTTCATTTTTATTTCGATTTTTTCCAATTAATTTCTGAAATAACGTCAATATTTGGATGAAAATTGGTGTCTGTGAGTTTTTTGACCTAATAAATTTGATTTTGATGTCAATATGACTCCTATTTGTAGTGGGCGCCACCTACATGTGTTTTAATTGTTTTTAAGAGTAATAACTTTTTGTCCGTACCTGTATAAAACTACTGAGTGAAAAAATATACATTTCCGTGATTTTTTACGTATAAAATATCTCTTGGTAAAAATCGCTACGAGCATCCGTTCTCAAGAAATTTAGAATGGAAATAGTCAATGCATGTCATTATTAACAAAAAATAAACACGTTGCCGTTGAGTAGATAGTTATTTTGACTGAAATAATACATTTGGGAAATTTTTATTTAAATTAATCATAAATTTTTCTTCGAAAAAATGATGATAAAACAGTTTCTGTTGAACTTTTGGCACAAAAACCTTTCAAATTTATGACTTCAGTCTAATAACTATTTAGTCAACAGGTTTTATTTATGTCAATGATGACAGATATTGATAAGTTCGATTCCAAATATCTCGAGAAATATTACTCGTAGCGATTTTTTCCAAGAGACCATTTTTACGTAAAAAACGTCGCAAATGCATACTTTTTTGCTCAGTAGTTTTATACAGGTACGGATAAAAATTTATTACTATTTAGACCAGTTAAAGAATATGTAGGTGGCGCCCTCTACAAGTAAGAGTTATATTGACATCAAAATCAAATTTCTCATATCAAAAAACTCTCAGACACCTTCATCTAAATATTGATGTTACTTCAAAAATTATTTGGAAATAGTCGAAATAAAAATGAAACTTCTACACCCTCTATCTCCGCAACTTAGCATTTTAGTACATACTTTTATACGAACTTTTTTTACTTAATTTTATCTGCAGAATAAGCTGCCGAAGTTTCCGGAATACAATTCGAACCACCCTGTATATTACATCTCTATCGTATGGATAAGTATATCGGAGAACATTTTTAACCAATTATATTGGAAGAATAATGGTCTAAAGACTTGTTGATAACGTCATTTTATTATAGCTATAAAGTTTCTATAGTCCTGTAGCTATTCCAATGAGCTTAATACCATCAGCAATGAAGTAGGACTTAAGATAAATCTAAATAATACTATGATCATGTACATAGGTATAGAAATTAGTCACAGTTACGTCATTGTTAATAAAATTGATAAACAATTCTGGTTTATGAGGTACTTCGGAATTCTTAACAGAAGAATAAAATTGGCATGAAAAGTACTAGTGCGGAATCATCATCATTTTTAAGCCTAGAATGCAACTCCACTTAATTTTAAAGAAAAGATTTTGATCAATCGGTAGTACCAGTTAAAACATGCTGTGAAATTGGACATTTAAACTAAAATTCATGTGAAGATTGTAAGTGGTAGCACTCTGGACTGATAGTTTCTTTGATTGCCAGCGCGCAGGCTAGTTTTTATTAGGTAGTTTTTACTAGTTAATATTCGGTGCTAATACTATCAAATACCAAAAAAAATGTTGGTCTCAAAATGAATTTAGCAAAAAACTAAAGAAATGTGCAACTAATTAGTGGAAAGGGGGAAAGATATTCTAATAAATAGCACAACACTGGAAATAGTAGAAAAATAATTTGGGACAACTAATACGCAGCTTGGAATCTTTATTACCAGAAATCAACAGAAGAATTAAGTTAGCATGGAATACATATGGAAGAACAATATAAGAAGAAAACATTCGACCAATGTGTAATACTAGACATGACCTCTCGTGCGAAATCTGGACACTTAAAACGGACATCATAAAGAAACTGCAGCCCGCACAATGCTCAATGGAGTGAAATATGCTGGGTATAACCATTAGAAACCATAAAGGAATAGAATCAATATAACAAAAAACCTAGGGAATGACAGATGATCACGAATCATCAAATGGCAATGAGCAGTGACACCTGCGGACAACAGATGGACCATAAAAATTACAGCATGGTACCCAAGAGGAATTAAGACACCTAGAAGAAGACCGAACCTGAGATGGGAATATTAGAAAATTAGCAGGGATAACTTGGGCCCGCATAGCCAACAATATACAACAATAGGTCCAACTACAAAGAGAGTATCTAAATATGTGAGGGAGACTACACCATAATTGGAAATGGTTGAATAAGCTGAAAATGATGATGATTATGGCCAAAAAAAATCATCGAATATTTCTATTTTACAAATAACCGCATAATAATTGGTACAGGGTCCAAAAAAATCAAGATATTTAAAAAAAATGATTTTTCAGTTTTTTTTAACTCGGATTTTTTTTATTTTAATCAATTTTCTATTCTAAATGGCTAAATCTTCGAATCCGATATCGATAATATTAACATTTCTACGGCGCGTGTCGTTCTTCCACATTAGTCACCGATATATTTTATACTGTAAATTTTGCCGATGCCCCTATGCCCATTTCCACAAAAAAATCGCTTGTTTTTGACTAAAGGGATTAATTTTGGAAATAGTCATGACTCTCTTAAGTCAAGAATATAATTACTACCATATATAATATATATGTTACGGTTAAGGTCCGATGTCCGGTTAATGTCGACATTACCCGGTTAATCTCAAGAATAACACACAACAAAACAACCAAAAACATAACCTAACCCAAACATTAACCTGTTAATGTCGACATTAACCGGACATCGGACTTTAACCGTAACATACATATTGGTCAAAGTGCAAAATATTTATTGCAGAACAAAATGTCTGTAGACATTTGAAATTAACTAGAAGATAAATTAGGGAAGGCAGAAGTTAGCTTGATCAATATTGAGCTGTTTCAAAAAGGATATAAAACAGTTTTGACAACTGCATATTTTTTGACGTTGATTATGGTCTTCGGGAATAAAAATATAACCTGATATCAGAAGAAACGAGTTCTGCACTAGAGTTTGCAGTTTGCTGATATCTGGAACCTTTGCTGATATCTGGAACGAAATAACTTCAAAAATTGGTCCAACATTTTAATAGATGAACAGATATTACGTAGGTATATATTTTATATGTTATGTGTACCTTTTACAAATATTTTTTTCCATTTATTAAAGTATTTAAACATTAAAACACCAAGTGTAACTTTGTATTTGATGAATAGATATGGAGTATATTTATTATAGGAATACTATTTTATGGTTTTATAGGAAAAGTTTTTATAACTTTTACAGTTATTTTTTGATTCGTAAGTTTTTAAAAAAGTTGATTTTTTATTTAAATCCAGATCCATAAATCTTGATTTAAATCAAGCTGATATAAATTACTATACCCTGGTTTTGTACGTACCATTTATTTTTTTTAAGAAAGGTTCTTGATAACCGTTCACTACATAAAGTATTTATGATGTCAAAAAACGCGCTACACTATTTTGAAATCAAATTTTATTAGCTTCAAATCAGCATGCATACTTCCAGTATAAAATACTTAAATATTGAACATACTTATTTTTAGCATATATCACATATCAATCAAATTCTGTTGACAACTTTATAACTCAAATCCTGTTTCCGCCGTTTCAAAACTAAATTTATATATATTTTTAAAAATCGGTCAAATATTCGAATTGCAATTTCAAGAAATTTTCTGCAATATTCTTTTATTACTTCATCGATGGTAAAACATTTTAAATTTAGAACAAACGGTTTAACGTAAGTTTCATTATTTACGGAGAAAGTGGCTTAGAACGTGCCTTTAATAAAAATATCCTGTTGTAAGTACATAATCGTAAATTTAAATGTAAAACCAACTGACTAAAGTTAAAAAATAATAAAATGCTATAAAACTGCAATGTTATTACGTCAGCGGAAATATAATTTATAGTTTTCCAATATTTTTTAAATAGTTAATATAAACGTAGCCATGCCATATACATACACAGAATCTAAACGAATAAGTGCAAAACAATTTCATGAGAATTGTTTTTGAAAAGGGAGTTATTTTTAACACATTTCTGATTTGGTGATTCCTTAAAGTTATTTCCTTATACAGGGTGTCCCAGAAATAAGTGCAAATATTTTAAGGGGTGGTAGATCTGGACAAAAGAAACTAAAAACTAAAAAAAAATCCAAAAATTTTTTCAAAAAATTTCGAATTTTCAAAATTTTGTTTTCGCCAAAAAAACTCATAGGCGTGTTACTAGGGTTCAACTATACCACCAGTTAAAATACTTGCACTTATTTCTGGGACACCCTGTATAAGGTGAACCCGAGGGTGAATTGATGATGATTGAGTATTGAATACCAATATACCATCGATTTTTTTAATAACGGTTGATGCTAAAAGTTGATTTTTTTTATCTGGACTGATTGTTCATTTAGATATCATATACAGGGTGAGTTTCCTACGATGTTCTCTATGGGTATCTCGGAAACTACTGGAGAGAGTCGGTTAAATGGGGAAAGAATTGCAGTTTTGTGGGGTCATAAATATGCGCCTTTCAGATTTTTGAAAAAGTTTATGGCTTACTAGATATTTTGAAAAAAACAAATTTCGGCTATTTTAAAAATTGTCCCTAATTCCATTATAAGCTATTTTAGACAAAAAGTTTTGAGATAAAAGTTGTAGGTAATCACATTCTTAATGAGTATGTGTCCTCCGCTTTTTTCTAAAGCCTGTCATTTTTGACATATGACACAAACATAGGTTTTTTTAAATAGAAACCATAGTTCGCCATGGCTTCATAAAAAGCGCCATTTTTTAAGCTTTTCAGCGATATAAGCTATAATATGTTTTCTTCGAAAAATTACTGAGTTATAGCCAATTCTTATCATTTTTAAACAATTTCACTTAGTTAGCCATGGAAACAAGTTTATTCGTCTTTGCTCGCATAAATGTGAAGCTGTCACATCCAAATTTTGCAAATTAAAATAAATAAAAATTGTAAATATGAATTCTTCAAATGAAGAAAAGCGTGTAGGATTATTGGTTCAACTTTTCTTGACCATACATTTTCGAGGATACGTTGGCCGGTGAATGTTACGTTTTTTAGAGAACGGTTTTCAAGACATGTTAGAATAGTTAAATTTAGTTATAGCCAATTCTTATTTTTCTTAAATAATTTTACTTAGATTGCATGGTATTCTTATTCTATTATGATTTATAACTTATAAAAAGTTAGAATATATATAACGGTTCTTTACAATTTACATTACACAAACTAAAACTTAAAAAAATAATATCACTACATACACTTTAAGTTATTTTAAAAAAAAAATATTCTAATATGTGGGGGGTGGTTTCACCCTCTTAGAATTCGAGTTTAGAAAAATCCCTTCGAACCTCTACACCCTAAAGTCAATCCGTTTTCCAAAAATCAGCTTTTTAAGTCAAGCGCTTTAAGCAGGATAGTGATTAATCAATGACCAGATTTCTCGAAACACCCTGTATACATTTTTAAAAAATCTTAAAATAGGTAAAAAAAAATAAAATATACACGTGTTTAAGCGTTTTTTCGGAAACTTGACCGTTTTTTAAATAAAAAATATTGTAATATTTGAGGGGTGGATTGACCCCCTTGAGACTGGAATTTCGAAAAATCCCTTCTTATCGAACCTCTACACCCTAGAATCAACCTATATACCAAAATTGAGCTTCTTACGTAGAGTGGTTTGAGCAGGATCGTGATTAATCAGTGAGTAAGTCACTTAAGGATTTTATATATTAGTATAGATATTGCCTTTATTTCACAGATTGTTCAGAGATTACAATAGAAAGTAATATAGCATTTATAAACAAAATATATATAAAAATTTAAAAATTAATAAAAAAAATATAAAATATATTATTTTATAAGTGAACTATCGTGAACCATTCATAAACTTATTTCATCTAAATATCAATATTTTGATTGAAAAAAAATCTTTTTAAAAACTCTATACATCAATAAACCAAATTGAGCCTACCTTAACATATACAGAAATATCTAATTCTCTTATTCACCATAACCAATTAATTAAAAACATGCTTTTGACATCAATACGCTCACCAAAAATAACACTTTATCACAGATATCTAATCTTTAGTCCCCCAATTACCAATAAAGAACAAATCAACCAGTGGAACTATCAAAAAATCAATCATTTTTTAAGCATATATACCGTATCCAAAATCTGCATTTGTGGAAAATTATTAGGTTAATTTTTGTATACATAACTTTTTCGCATATTCTTATTCGCGACCACTTATAATAACCACTGTTTATTATTGAGTTAACATTAAAAATTAAATATGAAATGTCGTAACATATCTCTGCGAACAGATGTCGCGTATGCTTTATTAAATATTTGCTTAAATATTATTATGATAAGCATTTTTTCTGTAATTTTACAATTTATGTTGGTATTTTCCGTTTTTAGATGGTACACGTGCTTTGGAAGCAGTTTTAAAATTATGCAAATATATTTTGATTCTCTTAGAATTTTCATGTACATGGAATGAACTTACATAGATGTAAATCCTATTAATGTCTATAAAAATTATTATTAAATTTGTGTTATCAAGTCAGTCTGTAAATTGGATTTAAAAGATCAGAAATATATCTTATCTTCGGCAATATTTGAGTAAACTCGCGTGTCACCTGTTGATCATATGACTTTTTATAGCTGGGTCACTCAAAAATCAAAGTTTTTTTCAGGTTGAATATTATTGAATACCTTTGAATAAATAGACCAAGGAGAGAAGACTAAAATTATTTACACAGGGTGGTCCAAACTGTATTCCGGAAACTTCGGTAGCATTATTATACAGGGTGTCCCAGAAATAAGTGCAAATATTTTAACTGGTAGTATAGTTCAACCCCAGAAACACGCCTATGAGGTTTTTTTCGCGAAAAAAAAAATTTAAAAATTCGAAATTTTTTGAAAAATTTTTTGGAAATTTTTTTAGTTTTTAGTTAAAAAACATAATTTCTTGATAATATGAAAACATAGGTATTAGATTAAATTTACAAGAAAGGAAATCCAAAGAAAATCCAGAAAAGATTGTGGTTCTCAAAATTTTAGCAAAAAATCATTTTTTTTGGAAATTTTCAAAGTAAAATAACTCCGTTATTTTGGACTTATTTGAAAAACGATAAAGAGAAAATCTGTTTCTTTTATCGAGATCTACCACCTCTTAAAATATTTGCACTTATTTCTGGGACACCCTGTATTTTGCAGGTAAAAATAATTAAAAAAGTTCGTATAAATGTATGTCCTAAAATGCTTAGTTTCGGAGATACAGGGTGTAGAGACAAGTTTCAATTTTATTTCGAATTTTTACAAATAATTTCTCAAGTAACATCAATATTTGGATGACAATTGGTATCTGGGAATTTGGTTTGGGATGAGAAATTTGATTTTGATGTCAATATGACTCTTATTTGTAGAGAGCGCCACCTACATATTTTTTAACTAATTTGAAGACTAATAACTTTTCCTCCGTACCTGTATAAAACTACTGAGTAAAGTCTCTTGGTAAAAATCGCTACGAGAAATGGTTCTCGAGATATTTGGAATCAAAATTAAGGTCAACTTTCGTTTAGCTGAAATCAGTTATTAGAAAAAAAAATTGTCTTTAAAAAGCTACTGTGAACCACGGAAAACACAAATTTTCCTGCGGAAATACGTAATTTCCAAATTTCGCACTTTAGAATAACTGAAATCTGCTATAAAAAAAATACATTTTGCGTTTTATTTTTAATATATTTTTCTGAACATATAAACACAAAAATTTTCCTGCGGAAATAAGCTGTTCCCATTTCCTAAGGAATTTTATTAGACTTTAGAATAGCTGAAACCAGTTAAATAAAAAATAAAGGTATTTTTGCCTTTTAGAAAATAAAAATTTTCATGCGCAAATAAACTGTATCCATTTTCTGGGGAAATTTAATAGCCTTTAGAATAGCTGAAATCAGTTATATAAAAAATAAATATATTTTTGCCTTTTAGAAGCGTTTACAAACTCAGGAAAATAAAAAATTTCCTGCGGAAATGCTTGATTTTCCATTTGTTCCTTATATATTATCGGGTCTTGTAAAGTATAAGTACCCAGGAATTTAGCAAAAAAAATTTTGGCAGAAAGTCCTATGCTTATAGAACAGTTTAAAAGAAAAAAATCCTTGAATGAAGCACTTTTGAACAAAAAAAAATCATTTGAAAATGTCTAAAATGTTAACCAATCTAATAAAGAAAAGCTAACCAAAGCAACCCAAATCCTAACCAATCTAATAATATTTTTGCAAAATCACAGCTAATTATTAAAATATAAAAACCACAGCTTAACACCCTCCACAAAGAAAAGCTAACCAAAGCAACCCAAATGCTAACCAATATAATATTTTTGAAAAATCACAGTTAATTATTAAAATATAAAAGAAAACTGCATGATCCAATGATTTTTTGTTTTGAATCAGCCCTATTTACGTAAAGCTTTAATAAAAAACAAGAATAAGTGCAACATTCCGAGGTACTTATACGAGGGTTTACAAGAACCTGTATTATCTATTCTACAAGAATTGTTATTCCTCCGAAAGATGTTTTACTCCACTCAGCACCCCTATTCGCTCCCGGGTCCCGTAAGCTTCTAAACTGAAAAATGTATGAAAACAAAGTGCACTAAATTACATTGATACATTTCCGCAGGAATTTTATTGTATTTCTTTGCTCGTAAAGGCTCGTATAAAACAAATATAAGTTCATTTTTCTGATTTCGGCTATTCTAAAGTCAAAGCATTTTTTTATGTAAAATAAAAATAATTTTTATGTTTAGAAAAATGTCTAAAACACACCCCGAAGACTAGTTTTGATGTAACAGATTTCGGCTATACTAAAGTCCGAAAAATGAAAATGACGCATTTCCGTATTCCAGGAAATGACGCATTCCATGAAAATTTTTGTATATTTATACTCCTAACGCCTTCTAGAACGCATATATAAAGTCATTTTTTTATATAACAGATTTCAGCTAAACGAAAGTTGAGCCCAAAATTATCAATACCTGCCATCATTGACATAAATTAAACATGTTGACTATGACTTATGAAATTATAAATTTGAAATGTTTTTGTACCAAAGGTTCAACAGAAACTGTTTTATCATCATTTTTTATAAGACAAATTTATGATTTCAATCAAATAACTACATATATACTATTTTTTATTTTCTCCTCATTCCTTAAGAAGAGCTTTACATTAGATTAATGTTACACAAAAATCAGCTGTATTGCAATACCACCTATACAGTTTAAAATAAATCTTATATATAATTGTGTAACTGTTTAGTAAATAAAATATATATAATCTGGATGTAACCGATTTAATCAGTGGTAATAGACAATGACGTGATAAAAGTAAATGTGAAGGCCTTACACCTATTAATTGTAGGCTTCCTGGCGACCGCAGTTCTATTTTCAAACTGAATAAGAGCATTGATATTAATTATAAATAAAATTATAGGTATTAGCAATCAAATCACAATAATTATTATATTTTTGTTTGTAAACAATCATTATTTGCCTGTGACAAACTAGATTCTGTAATTAATGTCGATTCTGCTTTTAAATTCATTTAGTAATATTATTGAAAAATACATACGCTATAATTTTATGATGGAATAAAACTTACTTTACAGGATTTTTATTAAAAAAATCAATTATTGAGATATAAAATTTTTATAGTTTTATGGCCCTCTATAACTTTTCAAGTGTTCTTTTTATACGTTTTTAATAACTTGATAACGATGACCCGTTAAATTTAAAATCATAAAATTTTGAGAGATAGTCTCGTGCTACTTTCAAGTAAACATTGATTAATATTTCATTCATGGTAGCTTTGCTGGTGGTCTGGCTATAATAGTCCAGTGCTTTGGTTACTATATACAATATATAGTTTTATTTAAATGGTAGTATATACCCTTTGAATAAGAAGACTAAGGAAGAATCATATCAAAAATCTTGGGTCCACCGCGATGAGCCTCAAATATGGCCGAATTAAATTCCGGTTTATCAGTGCCGTTCTAATTTTATTTAAAAATGTAAAACTACGATGTAGGGTAGACGTGGGGTAGACCCCAATATTTTTTTATTTTACTTATTAAAATTGTTATAAAAATATAAAATTCAAATAAAAATAGATAAGTTATAATAATTATTTATAACCATAAACATCCGATAGGTACGCTACTGAAGCAGGTAAGTCAAATTGACGTATCTAAATTCTTTGACATCTAATCTTTGACAAGTAGTAAATAAAAGCAAAAATGCAAGAAAAAATATATAATTAGTTAATTTAAGTGAATTTCATAAATAATCGGTTTACTACACGTATGTATATTATATAGTCACTTACTAGCGAAAAGTTGTTCCATTATTTCATTCGATTTTTGCTGAGATCTACCGCACGCTACACAACCAACTATTTTAGAGTCTTTTTCGATAAATCGCGATAGTATCACTGTTAATTTAAGTTCTGCCACAATTTGCATCTAGATTTACTACCTTTATACAACTATCAGTAGTAGAATAAATAATAAATAACATAAAATAAGCTCCGTAAAGACTGAAAAATCCACAAAATTTCAAATCAAATTCAAATGTGTCAAATGAATCGTCAAACAGAACTGTCAAGGATCCCCACCCTAGAGTGCTTTTTCCGCCCACCATGCATGAATACATGGATAGCATTATGCTCCTTCCTTAGTCTTCTTATTCAAAGTATATATCAATCAACAGGTTTCTTTATTCAAAAAGTACGTTTTATTGTACTCATATCCTATTATGTTAAATAAAAATTATATATTTTAAAGATATACGAGAATTGTCTTTTCGATTTTGCATAAAGAGGTAAAAAACAGTAGATAACTTTTAAAAACTATCGTATTTCGAAGTATTCTCCACCACGAAGAGAAATACATTTTTGCATCTGTTGGGAATAATTCTGAGAGCAGTTATTCCACTCGCTTGTTAGTCCTTCAAAATTGCGTTTTTGAATACGCTGACTACATCTTCTGGGACTAGAACCTTTGACTAGGCCTGTTCCAAACACCGGAACACCGTTTTAATACCGATGTTGAGCTGACACCGGTGGCCAAATATGAACTATCCGGTGTTCCAGTATCGCTATCGACCGCGCCGTTGACACCGACACCGGTGTTCATTTCGATACCGGTGTTCATCTACAACACCTGTGTTCTTCCAAATACACCGGTGTTGGTCTGG